TAGAAACTGGCAGTCTTAAGGAACAAGACAGTGGCTTAGCCAGATCACCATGGAAAAGCAGGATAGAGATGAGTATTAAGGGTGTCTGCAAGTAACTAGGACCAACTTGAAAGGAGGAAATAAGGACATTGGAGGCAGTGAAAACCTGGAAAGCCTTCAGATTGAGATTGGAATGCGGCTGTGGTGACTGGTAATAACAAGATCTCAGGTGTGACCATGGGCGTATGTGGCTAAGGGATGTGAAGAAGGACAAGATCACTGGAAAGGAGGAGGTCAAACAGGGGAGAAACAGTAATGTAATAATAAATAGATAATTCTTAACCTTATTGATGGAGGCAGAGAAAGTATGTTGGACACTTAATTTATACTTAGAGTTTAGTATCAAAGGCTCGTATTTTCATCTGAATCCCATTCTTAAACTTATGTGTTCTTATTGCATTAAATTCAAAATAGTCTGTAACTCTCGTTATTACTTTTTGAACTAAAAGTTATTTTACAGTATTTAATTTTGAAATTTTTTTTTTATCCTCACCTGAGGACATTTTTCCATTTTTTGTTCAGATAGAGTGGGAGAGAGGAAGAGAGAAACATTGACGTGAAAGGGACACATCGAGTGGCTGCCTCCCGCACAACACAACCAGAGCCGGGGACAAACTGCAACCGAGGTACGTGCCCTTAGCAGGAACTGAACCCGGGTCTCTCTGGACCGCAGGCCAACGCTCTAACCGCTGAGCCAAACCAGCCAGGGCTTGAAATGTTTCAATTTTTTTCATGTAAACTACCATTAATTCTTAACTTATCAGTGTTATGATCAGAAAATGTGGCCTAGATCATTTATGACTGAAAATAGTTTATGAAGACTACCATTAATTATTCTGTCCATTTTCCTTGAATTTCTATCACTTTGTATATTTTGACAATGTTATTCATCAGATACATGTTCACAAAGGTTTCATATTTGTCATAAATGGTAGCCTTTATCAATGCAATAGAATGTTATTTTAAATATATGAGAGTAGAAAGAAAAATTACTTTATGAAAACAGCAACTTGAACTCCTACTGCAAACTCCCTGGTGACCTGGTATATTAGAAGCCACACCACGGGTACATTAAGCACCAGAACGAAAGATGTCAATAACGGAGAGTTTATTACTCTACTAGAATGTCCCAAAATTGATTCACCAAAACCCCATTTGGAGTGTTCAAAACATTTTTAAAATAATGTTTATAATATGGATATGGTTGGTGATTGCTAAAACCAGTGTTCAGTATTTCAGTATATCCTGCCATTTTTAAGTACTTAAATACTGGTTATTGAATTGCCAAATTTCCTTGCGCCTCCTGCCTTTGTCTTCCAGGTCTTGCAACTTGACTACTCCTCCCCTAGGATAAAATTTATTTCCTCCAGGATCTTCTTCTTCCTACCATCTGACCTGCAGACTCTAGCCAGAGAGCCAAAGTCAGTCCTAGACCTTGGTCATCTCTCAAGTAGATGACAAAGTGGAAAAGACAAGGGCAACCAGAGCCCACTTTTTGAACCAAACACTGGTGTGTGTGTTTCAGTGACACCAAAGAGATACTAAAAAGTAGCATTGTCTTTTTGCTCTGGTATTACAACGAATTGTTATAGTAGAGTTGAAAATTAAGTTATCTAGGATCGATTAAAATTTAACTCTTAAGCTGTCTCTGGATGACCTGAGAAAAAATGATCGCCCAATCCAGTCCAGACATGGGTTGAAGTAGGCAAGGACGTGAATATTAAGGAATAAAGATTGTTATGTGTTGACCTTTTGCTTTTTAATTTTTGTATTTTTTACTCTCTAAAATCCACAGGCTTAATCTGGGGAAAATAAGCTGACTCAGTCTAAGATGGGTTTACTTGAGGAGTTAAAACAATCTAAAAGAAATTTCCTATTAGGTCATAGCCTACCTCCAAAGAAAGGATCCCTAAAAGGCAAATAGAATTGTCACCCAATTGACTAAACAGTTATTTGAAAACCATGGTCGAGAGCCACGATCCATGATAAACAAACTGCTCAGATATACTGTACACAACAGGTCCATGCGTTTTGTTTAATGAGACTTTAACCAAATCTGACATCAGATGAGAGGAACAGAAATAAAAGCTCTTTAATTGTAAACTTTTAGGCACAATCCACACCTGAGTTTTCATGTGCAGATAGAACCCTGGAACATCTTCTGCTAATAACACAAGAAAAGCAGCTCTGTGCACATAATACATTAACCAATTTCCCCAGCCTCAAGCACTTCCGGTCTCAAACTGGTACCTTCTCACAACCGGTCATGTAAGCAGTTCTCCCTGGGTACAGAATATTAATATGTAGGAAGTATGGCTAATTAGCAGGCCCATCTCTTTTATGACGCTGGTTGTAGTTATAAAGTATCAAAATAAAAAGTATAAAAATGAGAAATTTAATCAATTTTGGCCATAAGTCTAAAGTCATTCTGCAATGTCTTCATAGTCTCACTAAATTTATGGCATCACTTAGTTTTTGAGTTAAGAAAGCTCTCCAGTCCATTGTATAATTATGAAACTTTGGAGACTACTTGGACTAGCGAGCTGATTTCTTACTTTTACTTAATATGCACAGAAATGCTTCCATCCAGCCCTTTACAATATATGAATTATTATTATTATTATTGTTATTGTTATTTTGGCAGAGGCAGTCATTAGCTAAAGGGCCTTATATAAAAAGAACTGCAAAAGGAAGTAAGCCATTGGCAAAAACTGGGCCATGATTATGCAAGATTCAACAGGCTATGAGAGAGGGGTGTGCCAAACCCCCTTCTCCTTTCAAGGTGAAAAACTGACCTTGGATTAGCTCTCTAGCTCGATTCCTCTGGAAACCTGATGAAGGTGCACCATCAGCTGTGTGACCAGACAAACCTGATTCAGGTAAAATGTCCTGGGTGGTACCTTGTGTCCAAGCTAGGAGGGCCTTGAGTGGTCATAAACACCTGCTAGGAGTCACAGATCTGGCTTCCCAAATACAGTGTACCTGTTGTTGCTAGGACCTGTCCCTGGTCAGGATGTGGGGATGCTATGCACAGGGAATTTTTCCAAGAGGTAGTGGTCCCTTAGGGCTGCTAAGCCAGGGGGCTCCTGCCCCATCTGTGTAGTTTGTGGGGACTGCTGTGAGAATTCCCACAGAACTGTGCCTAAAGCTGCCCCTGGCATGGAGTGTTGCCTGTCTCGTGTCCTTCAGAGTAAACTGGTGTCAGGTATGGCCTATCCAGGTCTTGGGAGTTTAATTATGTAGTTGAACTCAATGCCAACTGTGATAGGTGTGGTGCAAACACTTGGCAGTGTCTTCAGAGATGACATAATCTCACATTAGTACCAAATAAGTATAAACATGGCTATCAAAAGGGTATGGGATTAGAACCAATCAAGACAAACTTTTAAGAAATGGTTTAAGACACTTAAAGTATCAATGAAGCTTAGGGCAGAGAATAATAGCACATGCACAAAGAAGAGTATTCATTCATTAAATCATTGAACTTAAATTAACATTTTTACCCTATTTAGTTATAAATAAAGGAGCAAGGCATTATGATACAGAGGGAAGGAAATTCGCTCAGGAGCTGGGTCTGGGTCTCATTCTGGCTATGCAGCCTTGGATACGGTTCTTCCCTCTGCAACCATCTGTGTCTACATGGTAGAGGAGGGTAGGGGAAGTGGTGGTGATGAACTGATGTTGCTTCTGACAAAACTACTCTGATAAACCCAGAAAATAAATGCTATACTTGTTAACTTCATAATTACATGTTTGGTAATCTAGTCTCAGAAAAAAAAACCTAAATACATGAAAAAGTCTTATGTAAAAATGTAAACTGAATTATTTGTCACCTAAGTAGAGAAAAAGATTTAAAATCACCCAAATGTCTATGAATCACACTTTACTATAGGTACACCCATTAGACTACTAGTATGAAACTAGTATGTTAATGTAATAAGCATATTCCATGTTAAATAAAGGGTAAAAATTACACAGAAATATTTTGATTATGTTTTTTTTTAAAAATCTGCATAGAAAAAGAAACGGAAGACAGAATGTTAAAGTGAAACTTAAAATCTTTTCTCTCCATTTTCTAAAATTTCTCAAATGAACATCTGTTTTATGATGGCAAAACAGTTAAATTTCAGTTGCATTTCCAAGATATTACCCAGTATCAACTTTTGTAGTCAATTTTTGCTCATATCCTCTCTAGATATATTATACTAATATTGAGATTAGGCTTGAAAATATCATTTCAAATCATGTTGGTTATGTTATTCTGAGAAACGAGCTAGCTGAGGCAGAATTTAAATATCTTTCTTTTACTTAATTAACAGAGCCTAACACCATTCCTGAAACTTATTGAGTATATATATATATATTTTTATATATAAATTTATATATCTATATTTGCTTATATATAAAAAAATTATTAAAATATATATATTTATTAAATACATATTATTAATATATGTATATTTTTAAATAATTATTAAAAATATATATATATTTCTAAAGAACTATGTCTTTTCATATTGCCTGGAACACCCAAAAATTCTTATTTCAATTTTCATGGACTTAAACTAAGAAAATAAAGATCTGAGCAAATCATTCCTGCACTATTATTACCAAAGACATTTTATGCCAATATACTTACCATAGTAAAGTTGGCGGGAAAGTAGCACTTACAATATCTCAAGATGTTTACAAACCTCAAATTCTAAGACATGGGAATGTAAAATTATGAAAGAAAAACTGACTCAAGGAACTTGGGTACCCTTCAGATTTAACTTCTCAATTGCTTACTTAATGCAATCCTTCCAAAAGGATTTTATGTTTTTTCTACAAACTTAAGAGGTTCTTGGGACATGCAAGTTATAAGTACAAGTAAAAAAACTACAAATATGTGAAAAGACCCACATTACCTTTAGAAAGAGTAACATGAAAAAGGTGCCATGCCAATTTTAATTTCACTGTTTTAATATCATGAAATGCAAGTAAAAAACATTGTACAAGTACATTTTTACTATATGGAGATGGAATAATACATTTGTGTTTTTACCAGAATCTGTATCACTCACTATTGGCTCTCCATGAGGATTTTCTACTATTCCTATAAGATTTTATCATGAACAAAAAAACTCTTAAGTCTTTTCAACCGTAGTTTTTATTAATCTTAATATTCCTGTTCAGCTGCTTGGGAGAACTACTAAGAAATACAAAATTACCTTAGCCAAGAGTTTTGAGTGGGTAATTTTGTTATTTCATGTTGGCTGAAATCTCCCTTATGTTGGCATTGCAAAGACACTGTGCACTTATAGGGGATAATAGCCCTCTTAACATTTAGGAAGGCAAATGACCATTTCCTGTAAAGTACAAAATATTATAATAAATAACGGCAACAGAGGACCGTAAAGCCCCACATGTACTAAAGAAAAACAAGTTTGCACATAGTCAAGTGAGCGTAACATCAGCTAATGAAGAAAAAGTAAACTGAGCTGAAGTGTCCAGAATTCCACCTCCATAGCATATATCAGTTTTCAGCCATTTTAACTAAGACTTTTCTTATTACACACACGAAAAAATAACAGATGAAAGTAGCATTTACTTTGTTGGAAATTTGAAAAAAATAAACATACGGATAATTCCATAAAATATTTGAAACTAATTTTGTTTTTATAAATAAATAAAATGGTGTTGGTGTTTATCTCCTTTTTTAAAGTTTTAATTATCACTCTTACTGTTTAAAAAAACCATTCAAACTAATGTCAACCTTTAAGAATAAACTTTGGAGTACTTAAAAGAACATGTTTGGAAAACCGAATCACATTTTTCACTGCCAGAATTATGCTTTGTTCTTGGTAGAATCATCTTTGTTTCTTCTTTTTACGTCCCAATTATAAACCCTGGCCATATCTGCAAGAATTGTTAAAGAAAATGCAAATGCAATTCTAAAGATAACATACTCAATGACTAAGTATGCACTCACACACTGAATCAAACAGAAATCACACATACAAAATACTGGTGACAAGTAGTGTTATGAGCCATCTAGCTATAATGTCATTTGCTAAGAAAATATTGGAACTAAATTCCACCAAAACAAAGTTAAGTCCTCAAATCAACAATTGTTTAGCATATAAAACAATTGTTCAGCATATATAATCAACTATTGTATTATATTGAACAAATATGCGCTTGGCACTGTCAATAGTTTTAAAGACAGCTCTTCATCCATGAAATTTCAAAAAATGCTCAAACCATATCCTGATATGTAATATTTAAACTAGTACAATTTAATTATCAATAACTTGATCTCTTACTTTCCCTTTGGTTTAACAGGACATTCACTCAATTTATTAAGCACCTACTTTTCCTTTCCACAGGCAGCACCTTGCGTAGGCCCTCACATATCAATTACTTCTCTCATGGATGGTGACTTTGGTGTTGTATCCAAAAAGTCATCATCATACTCAAGGTCATCTAGGTTTTCTCCTATGTTACCCTCTAGGAATTGTATAGGTATTTTTTTCTCCAGACGAAGTCTTGACGTTCAAGTCACACACCACTCCCACTCTAGGCCTTAAACAGACCTGCCTTCCCTCACCCAAGCACTCAGTACCTGCCGGGTGCTACATGCTATGGAGAAGAGAGAGTGAAAGTACAGCTTCTACACTTGAAGAGCTTTCAGTCTGACCTGGAAAACAAAGAAAGATGTGCAGAGTGCTAAGTAAGCAGAGAGGAACAACAGAATGCCCTGAGAGGGTTAAAAAATGTTCAGAAATGTTCTGATGCTTGTGCTGAAATATGAAGGATAAAATGTAACCAGGTAAAGAGGAGGAAATCATTCCAGGTAGGAGGAACAAAGTGAGGAAAAGCAAAGGGTGTGGCACTTTGGGGGAGGGGGAGAATAACTGGTTGAGATTATGGTATGAAGTAAGACTGATTGGTCTGAGAATAAGGACATTCTTCTCATTAAAGCAATGCAAGTAAGAATGCTACAAACATGCCCTGGCCAGTTTTGCTCAGTGGTTAGAGCACTGGCCCACGGATCAAAGAGTCATGGGTTCAATTCCAGTCAAGGGCACGTACCTCAGTTGTAATTTGGTCCCTGGTCCTGATCAGGGTCGTGCAGGAGGCAACCAGTCGATGTCTCTTTCACATTGATGTTTCTCTCTCTTCCTCCCACTCTACCTGAAGATAAACGGAAAAATATCCTCAGGGGAGGATTTTAAAAATAAACTATTTATTCTTTCCTCCCTTTGTTTCTTTTTAAAGAAAGGATACTGACTTCGGTGGTAGTAAATTGATCTCGAAGAAAATCAAGGTCTTCCTCAAGAGAATCAAGATTCTTTGTGGCAGTTGATAAATTCTTTTCCAACAATGCCTGAGCTTCATCAATATCATATTCAAGCATTACATTAGCCTGAAGAGAGAAAGTCATGACAATTACTAAACATTTACATAGTACTTTATAGGTTAGAGCAAGGGTTGGGCAAAATCCAGCTGGCTGCCTTTTGTCTTAAGTTTCATTGGAATCCAGCTATTCTTCACTCACTTATGCTTTCATGCCACACTGGCAGAGCTGAGGAGTTGTGACAGAGACTGAATGGTTTACAAAACCAAAAATATTTACTCTCTGGCTTTCTATAAAAGTTTATTGACCCCTGGGTTAGAGAAAATATTTACATATATTATACCATTTATTCCTCATAACAACCCTGGTGAGACAAGTTATTTTCATCTTTACAGTTAAAACAGGTTCAGAGAAGTCAGGTTGCTTATGCTTGCAAAGCTAGTTAAGTAAATGGGAGATTAGGATAACCAATATGTTTATATACCAAATCCTATCTTTCTACTAACCACCATGACACTAGTGTTACATTTGAATCCATTTAAATAGTTGTTTCTGAGCTTAGGATACAATAATTTTAAAGTTTTCAAATATATCTATATTTGATCCAATAAGAAAAATAGCTAGCTTTTACTGTCCTGTCCTACCTCCAACAGATGCTAGGGGTGAAGGCAAGGTGACTGTGTCTGGAATTCTGAAGAGCGGGTATTACTGCTGACACTTAGGGATGCATATACTGTGGAGGTGGGAGCCATACCTTTTCCAGCTCTGAACTCCTCCTATCCCCTGACTTTACTACCAAGCATTTCCTGAACCACTTTCCTCATCTGACAAATGGAATTTAAAAATTACTCAAAGCATTGTTGTAAGGATCAAACGAGACAACACGAAAGTGTTTGGTACAAAGTAGGTGCTACAAAAATATTTATTGACTGATAATGGTGCAATGCATAATTAGAAAACTGTATAAAAATTCAGATAAGACAAAAAAATATTCAATGAAAAGTACTTGTCTCTCCAATCCCAGATCCACAATCTCATTCCTCAGAGTCAATTGTTGTTGTTTCTTACTACTTTTTTTCCAGAGATTTTCTGTACTTTGGTTACTTTTAACAAGAAAAAATAGAATACATTTAAAAACACTTCATTCATGTAAAAAAAAAAAAAAAATCAATCATTCTTCACGAAGTACCTTGTGGCAAGTATTTCTCCTTAGTTGAGTCACTCCTCAAACACTGCCTTATCAGCCTCTCCACTTGACAGTCTAATAGGCATCTCAAGACTATCATCCTGCAAACCTACTAGTCCTTTCCTGCAATATGAGCTACAAACGTTTTTTCCTGTTCACTGTCTTTTAACTTTGCAGCCTAAAAAAAACTATTCCTATTCCAGGGTTACAGAATAAGTCATCTATGACTTGGCCTAAATGTTTATGGTCAGTAATTCATGTAAGTATGTGATCCATGTGGAATGCATCCTAGTGTGAGATGTGAGGTGGGCTCCAGCTGTAATTCTTACCAGAGAGTTCCCTGTGGTCCCAGTCTAATTTATGGAATCATCTTATCCCTACCTGCTGATGATGGAATGTGGGTGGATGAAAAAAGAAACCAAGGGGAATAACCCCTAGCATTTGAGCCACTGGGTGAATAGCAGCTGTTCCATTTGCAGAACTAAAACTAAACAAGTATGGGAATCATGGTGTAGAATTGAATGTACAAACTCCGAAAATATTACAATTAACAAAAATCAGGAGGAAGAACTGAGGGATAGAGAAGTGAGTTAAACCGCCCATCTTTCATAGCACTAGAATGTCTCTCAGGGATGATTCTACAGAACAGCAGCAATAGGAAGTCCTCCCAGTGGGAAAAGCTGGAAGCAGTGCACTTGACTTTCTATTTTGGATGGGAACTTGCCTGAGGTAACAAGAACTATGGACGGCTAGCTAGACAGTCAGGAATGGCTTGGTTGGGGGACTGAAAGGAGTGAGATAAGAAAAATCAAAGACAAGGTCTATAAATCATCTAAAATGGAAGTGTATGGTTTAAAAACTGAACTCCAACCGCAAGGTTTTTTTGTAATAATCTTTTCCCCCTTAAGTTTAGATACACCTTTCTAGAATTTTTAAACTCCGATTGGGAAGAAACATTTATGTGAGGTTCAGCAGTATCTAATATTTTACTTCTACTGCTCTTCCTTCTGTTACATATAAGAGACAAAGCATTGGCTGAAAGGAAGTAGGGTTTTGGTCAGTTTTGTCTGGGAGAGACTTGGGTATATTTTTGCGGCAATCTTCATCACATTCCTAATTTCAGTCAGTTTCTAATATGGACCACTTGATTTCTACCTCTTCCTTCAACAATCAAAGGGAGATAAGCATCTACTCAGTTCAAACACTACTGTTGTGCTAGGAAAAACAAATGTCAGCCAAGGAAGCTGCAGCTATTACATTTACTTACCCCCAACCACAGACACACTTTATCAGTAGGAGGAACCGAAGCTTTGCAATACAGGTTGTCTGCCAGTAAGAATCTGGTCTCCAGTGAATTGGTGGACTCCTTCAAAAAAATGACAGTACTGTACACAGGCAAGTTTAATACCAAGGTTAAAAAGGAGAGAGCTGACAGCTGAACCTAAACCATTTGAAACAGTATCATCATGCAAACTAAGTATAGTGGTAAAATAAATGAATGCTTGGAGCCAGATGCCTGGACATGGATTCTGGCTCAACTACCTGTGTAAATTTGGCATATCACTTAACCTTTTTGTGTCTCAGGTTCCTTATGTGTAAAATACAGAGATAGTCCCTAAACCTCTAAAAGCCACAACAGACAATGGTGACAAACACACACCAGTGCCTGGTACAAACTAAGCACAAGAGTTAGCTATTATTATTATTACTTCATCAGTGCTTCATGCCCAACGAACCAGTTTTTTGAGTCTCTTACTAAGTTAATGTACTGGAAATGTACTTACTCTTCCAGTCAAGTAATAAATCATATATATTTACATATATAACCTTTTAAATACAATATCCATATGAATTTAATCTTTATAGATTGCTTTTATTTAATAAGTATTAAATTAAAACTCAGAAGATTCTCAAATCCAGTTCTGCCAGTAACTAGCTATGTGACACTGGTTAAGCGGAACCTCCTGTAACTGTATCCTCAACTGTGAAATGAGAATCTGAAACATAATTGTGAGGATTCTCTCCACCTCTGCAAGTCTTGGAATCACTCCTTATTCTTAGGGAGAACCGCAGCAACAACAAAAAACCTTAGATGCTGCTACCTCAAAATAACACATCTTTTGTATATAAAATAATTTCAAATTGCATTTAAATTTTGCAAATACTACATATAAATAAAATAATCCAAGAAGTATGGGCCCTAAGGGGGTCAATGGAGAAAAGGGGGGGGGGCATCTGTAATATTTTCAACAATAAAGATAAATTTTAAGAAAAAGTACAGGCCCTAGAATTAAACCTGATCTTGGGGGGAAAGCCACAAAATCACATTTACCATGGAAGCACACTGTCTACAACATCAGTACATGTGATCAAGAAGGCTGACTGAATCTTCCAGCACAGTTCAAATACCAGTGACCAGAGAGTCAAGGAAGACGCATCTCTACTGAGGTATCCTGGTTCACTCACATTTATAAATAAAAATGCACTTACTTTTTTCTTCTGCATGTATTTTAGAATTTCTAAAGTCTGCTTAATTTCAGGAATCTGACCTTTAAGCCTGTGAATAAGAAAAAAGGTTAACTTAGTATGCAAGAATAAACACCAGGACAGTCTTACAAGCTATGCATTTTCTTTTTTTTTTTTTTTTGAACAAAAAAATAAATCTATTAAAATAGGCATTTCAATAACAAACCATCTCACAAGATTGATATATTAAGTTGACATAAAATAGAAGAATATACTTTCCAAATGACTAAATATGCTGTTAAATAACTGGCTTTTACATCTACAATGTTCTATGCAATGTGACTCTCTTCTAATTAAATCTTTTTTCTAAACCTATAAAAATGTGCTATCTTTTACCATATAAGTTTTAGCACGACGTTGTTCTTCAGTTTACCCTGGTGTGAGTTTTTTTTTTTTTTCCACATCTTTATTGTTGGATGTAAAATGTATTACAGATGTTCCACAGTTTTCCCCCATTGATCCCCTCCTCCCCACTCCCGCCCCCCTCCCACCTTTTCCCATACTATTGTCCGTGTCCATTGGTTATGCATATAAGTTCTTTGGTTTATTTCTTCCCACCCCCCCAACCCCTTTCCCTTTGAGGTTTGTCAGTCTAGCAATGAATTTGTGCTTCTTAATCCCTTCACCTTTTTCATCCATTCCCCCAACCCCTTTCCCAACTGGCAACCAACAAAATATTCTCTGTATCTATGAGAATGTTCCTGTTCTTCCTGTTCATTTTGTTTGTAGATTCCATTGTTGATAGATATGTATTCATTGCCATTTTGTTTGTTCCTACATTTTATCTTTTTCTTTAAAAAGACCCTTCATCATTTCATATAATAACGGTTTGGTAGTGATGAACTCCTTTAACTTTTTCTTGTCTGGGAAAGTTTTTATATGTCCATCGATTCTAAATGACAGCTTTGCAGGATAGAGTAATTTTGGTTGTAGGTTCTTGGTTTTCATCACTCTGAATATTTCTTGCCACTCCCTTCTGGCCTGCAAAGTTTCTTTTGAGAAATCAGCTGACAGCCTAATGGGAACTCCCTTGTAGGTAACTAGCTGCCTTTCTCTTGCTGCTTTTAGGATTCTCTCTTTGTCTTGAACCTTTTGCATTTTGATGATGATGTGTCTTGGTGTGGGCCTCTTGGGGTTCATCTTGTTTGGGACTCTCTGTGCTTCCTGGACTTGTATGTCTGTTTCCTTCACCAAGTTAGGAAAGTTTTCTGCCATTATTGTTTCAAACAGGTTTTCGATTTCTTGTTCTCTCTCTTCTCCTTCCGGCACCCCCAAGATGCGAATGTTGGCACGCTTGAAGTTGTCCCAGAGGCTCCTTACACTATCCTCATTTTTTTGGATTCTTTTTTCTTTTTGCTGTTCTGGTTGGGCATTTTTTGCTTCCTTATATTCCAAATCGATGGTTTGCTCCTTGGATTTACATACTCTATTATTGAAGCTATGTAAATTATTCTTTATTTCAGTTAAAGCCTCCTTCGTTTCTAACTGTGCAGCGATCGTTTCTGACTGGTACTTTTTTATGCTCCTGAGGCCCTCACTGAGTTCATTGAGCATCCTTATAAGCAGTATTTTGAACTCAGCATCTGTTAGGTTGCTTATCTCCATTTCGCTTAGTTCTTTTCTTGGGGTTTTGCTCTGTTCTTTCATTTGGGACCTGTTTCTTTGTATCCTCATTTTGCTGCCTCCCTGTGTTTGTTTCTGTGTATTACTTAATGAGAGGTATGGGGCTCGCTGAGACCCGATGCTGCTCGTTTGAAAGAATTTAGGAAAAACCTGAAGCAGGATCCAAGACAGGCCAATCCTATGGTTAAGCAAGTAGCAACAGCTTGGGTGGGCCTGAAAGTTGGGTGGGGCGGGGCCTCAGGGAGTCAGCAGGGCGGCGCTACCAGTGTGAGCCAGGTTGCTGGAGTCCCAGATATGGCGACTGTCTGCCGCCCCAGGGAAGGGCTCACCAAAGGAACAAAGGCCTCTTACAGCACGTTTGTCCCCGAGAAAGCCCCCTCTCCAGCCCTCGCTCCAGTGCCAAACAGCTCAGTTCTTCCCTGTATGTCTCTGGTGCCCCTGGAGCTGCCTCCCCTCCGAGCTTAGAGGGAGAGAGTCCGACCAGTCCGTGCGCGGGCCCTTTAGGGAGCTGCCTGTGGCTCCAGCCAGGTCAGCTTCCCTGAGCCTCAGTTTCTGCTGGTTTTTCCAGCCAGAAGTTATGGGGACTTCTCTTCCTGGCACTGGAAACCTGAGCAGGGCACCTGGTGTGGGACGGGGACCCCTCAGTCATCAGGAAGGACCTTCCCAGCCTCGGGAGCCTCCTGATTTTTATCCGCCACACTTGGGTGTGGGACCAGCCCGTCGCGCCGCCGTGCCGCTGCCGCCACCCCTCACGCTGCTGCCCCTCCTACCAGTCTGGATGTAGCTGCCTTTTTTTTTTAATTCCGTAGTTGTAGGACTTCCATTCAGCTTGATTTCAGGCGGTTTTGGATGATGGTTGTTCTGTAGTTTTGTTGTAACTTGGATGTGGTTGTGGGAGAACGCGATACTGCGTTTCCCTACGTCGCCATCTTGACCGGAAGCCTGCATTTTCTACTGATATGCTCTTAAGGACTATTTGCAAATATAAAACGTTTACAATATTTCATATTTAAGATAGCTTAATAAAGTTTGTTTATTAAAATATCTAATATGCCCTGGCCGGTTTGGCTCAGCGGTTAGAGCATCGGCCTGCGGTCCGGAGAGACCCGGGTTCGGTTCCCGCTAAGGGCATGTACCTTGGTTGCAGTTTGTCCCCAGCCCTGGTTGGGTCATGTGGGTGGCAGCCACTCGATGTGTAGCTTTCACGTCGATGTTTCTCTCTCTCTCTCTCCCTCTCACTCTATCTGAGCAAAATATCGAAAAATGTCCTCAGGTGAGGATAAAAAAATATATATATATATATATATAATATAGTTCATATATTTAAGATATAAATATTTACTAAAATATTTAGATATGATAGCAAGTATTTCTAGAATGCCTATTATATACAAAGCCCCATTCTATCAAAACATCACATCATTATTTAACATTTCTAGAGCAAACCATATTCCACAGAGATGATTCAGAGGTTCCACATTTTATTAGAACTGCATTTGAAATGGATTAATTTTTAAAATAACATGGATTCAAATATAATATTCTAAATTCAAAACCACTGGAAACCACCAATTCCCTATCCAGTGCTGAATGTAGCTGCTCCTGGCGAGTGCACTCAGTGCACAGACATCTACATCACAGTCAGCTGAATGCCAGCGAAATACAATGACAGCTTCTCAGTGTTTAATCTTGTCACACTGTAAGAAATGTACAATATCACCCGACTATATAACACACCACATTATGACACAGTACAATTTAGTGATTCTTTTAAGCTTTGGGTAATTTTTCTTTAACTTTTTTTTCTTTACTGATTTTAGAGAGATGAAGGGAGAAGGAGAGAGAGAGAGAAACACCAATTAAGAGAATATCAATTGGTTGCCTCTTGCATGTCCCCCACTGGGGGTTTGGCCCACAACCTGGGCATGTGCCCTGACCAAGAATCAAACCGGTGACCTCTCGGTGCATGGGTTGATGCTCAACCACTGAGCCACAGCGGCCAGGCACTTTTCTTTAACTTTTAAGTTGTTAAATGTTATTTCATTTTCAAGTTAGGTAACAATTACTCTTAAAATTATAAATGGATCATTAACTTTAATGCAGAAATTTAAGAAAATGATGATGGGCATGATGGAATTGATTACACACAACAGGTAAGTTATATTATAGCTACCAGCAAAACTACTAGCCTAGAACTGGACATCCACACACACAAAAAATGCATCTAGACAGGGACTTTATACACTTCACAAAAATTATGTCAAAATGAAAGAATTGATATGCTGAACTTCATTAAAATGAAAAATGTCAGCTCTGCTAAAAACATTGTCAAGAGAATGAAAAGACAAGCCACAGACTAGAAGAAAATCTTCATAAAAGACGTATTTATTTATTTTATTAATTTATTTTTATTACAGATGTTTCTCCTTTTCCCCCCAGACACCGTCCTCCCGATTCCAGCGAAATACAATGCCTATTGTAAACAAAGCCCCGTTTACAATTCAATATGGATGTTGTAGATCTCTCAATTTTGCTTTTTTGTTGTTGATATAGTTAAATACTAGAGAGATGTAGATGTATTCACTTGTGAAATATCTGACATACACACAACATAAGAAGTATATTCAGGTCAAGTTTTTTTTTTCCATGCAAATGATTTCTATGATATATTTTTGTATGTATAAATTACATGTAATATATAAATTATGAAGCACATTAATGAATCAAGCAGCTGCAGCCCCAGCCAACTTGGGAACCAGATTGCCATGGTCACTGTGCATGTCCAAGTAATACATCCCTCCCCACCTTTCTCCATCCCAAGGGATAGCAGCTCTCCTGAACTGTGTATCCACAGTCCCCTTTACCCTTTTTCAAAAAGGTTCATCACATTTATGTGTATCTCTAAACAATATATTCTTTATTGTTTTCTTAGCTTAAACACAAACCATCCCATGCTGTATGCATTTTCAGGAGGTTGCTTTTTAAGCTCATTTAGTTTCCTAGGATTTGTTCATTCATTTTCACTGCTGTGTAATATTCAATTATGAATACAAAATAACTTATCTACTTTCCTGTTAATGGACACTTGTATCAGTTCTTGGTCTTTGTTATTACATGAACAGTAGAAATCTCTAGGTCCTGGACATGGGTAGGAGAGTGAAGTAGCTTAGAAAGAAAGTGAACCAAGTCTTCAATATGGAAGTAAGGTAAGGGAGAACTTTCTAGGTGTTTTTTCTCCTTCTAAATTGTCCTGGGTGCATCACAATACCTATCCCATAACTGTTACATGGCAGAAAAACAGTAGAATTGGTCAGAGGCAGGGAGGAGCTGGGAAGATAAGTACTGGTCCTCAGCAGTCCCCCCTCCCCACTTCCACACCCAGGGGTGCTGACAGTGAAGATAGCCAAGGGCAAAGGAACAGAAAGAATCCCCTGTAGGCCAAGTTACTTGGTTGGGAGACAATGTATTTGTCTAACAGCCATGCCCTAGATTTTACCACCAGCAGCATTCTTCCTACCCCTCCAAACCAGGGGACTTAAATTACTCCCATCCCCACATACATTACTGGCCAAAGTAACCACTATACCTGAGAGCATATGAGCTGACAGGGAAAAGAAATGTTAATCTAATAAACTCGACTATAATTAAACAAAGAAAATAAATTCAACAACCTCTATCAGATGAAATAAAATTAAATACTAAAAGATAACATTATACAGTAAGTATTTAAAGTACTTCAAAGAGAAAAAACATATTAGCAATATGAAGGAAGAAACAAGTAGATATAATAAGAACCAACCAAAACTATTAGGTATAAAAAATGTAATGGTTGAAATAAAGAACTCACAGATATCCATCAGTTACCAAAAGACAAATTACATACAATGTCAGCATAAGAAAAGACATGATAAAAAGTAATGGAAGGCAGAATTGGAAGTGTCAACATCCATATCAACACGAAATCCCAGGAGAGAAGGAAAAAAATTTTAACACATGATAGGGAAAAAAAAAAACACGACAAAAAATGACAATCACAAAATTTCCAGTTAAAGTAAGATAAAAAAGGCCCTGGCCGGTTTTGCTCAGTGGTTACAGCGTTGGCCCACAGGCCGAAAGATTTTGGGTTCAATTCCTGGTCAAGGGCAGGTACTTGAAATGCAGGTTTGATCCCGGCCCTGGATGGGGTCATGGGGGAGGCAACCAGTCGATGTCTCTCTTGTCTCTCTCACATCGATGTTTCTCTCTCTCCCTCTGTCTCTCTCTCCCTTCCACTCTGTCTAAAAATCAATGGAAAAATATCCTCAGGTGAGAATTAACAACAACAACCAAAAAAAGATAAAAGGCATATCGTCACAACAGAATTATGAAATAGTTAAGACCTTTTACATAGCTGAAGGTAAAGTTAAAGATAAATGACAGACTACAAGAAAAGATTTACAACATCTGAAAAAGAAAAAGGTATTCAAACTACATAGAGCCATCTGCTACAAAAAAAACTCAATCATACACAAAAATAATATTTGTTGCATAGCTGACATCACAGAGGTAAGGGGAATTCCAGAAAAAATAAAAGGGAAAAAAACTAGAAAAGGCTGTGAGTTGAGCAGTAAGAGAACAGGAGAAAAGTAGGCATCGTGAGGCAGTTGTCAATACCAGTTATAGACCTGAGCCTAGGCCCCTGACTTGCTCAGTGGGGAGTTCACATATTAAGCTCAAGAACTTGGAACAGTGCTCAAGTGGTTCAAGGCTGGTATAGATTCACAGCTCTGAGCAAAAGCACAATCCTCTATGGATAAAGGCAAACCACACAAGTATACATAGTTACAGGAAGCTGACATGTACAGTTGACTCTTGAATACATTGTTTTGAACTATGTGGGTCCACTTATACGAACATGGAATTTTTTCAACAAATTTTTTTTTCTTACTTATGATTTGAACATTTTTTTCTCTAGCTTACTGTTTTGTAAAAATACAGTATATAATACATATAATATACAAAACATGTGCTAATCAACTATGTTATCGGTAAGCCAACAAACAGTAGGCTGTTAGTAGTTAAACCTCTGCGTTGCTCAAGGTGCAAATGTAGTTAGTTAAGAAAAAAATTTTAAAAAGTATCCAGACACAGATAAATTATAATGAAATAAAACAAATGAGATGACCTTGAAAGTATCTAAAAAGAATAATTTGTTTATGTTAAAAGATAAGCTGGATATAAGAACAATAACCATATGTTGTTTACATGGAAAACCCTTAAATGTAAATAATAAAAAGGCTGAAAGTAAAGGGATTGGAAAAAGTATTACTAGCCAGAAGAAAGCTGGGGTAGTGTAAGTATCCAATAAAACTGATTTGAACACAATAAGCATTATTTTATATAGGGTTAAATTCACCAAGGAGACATGATTCTCAGATTGCATGCACCTAATAAAATAGACTAAAAAGGTTTTTTAAAGGATAGAAATTGTTTCAGGTTAAGATGGCAACAGACCAGCACTCCCACCTCTAACCACTCAAATAGCCAGAGAAAATACACCTCCTTTGTTGGAAGGCAGCAGAGAGCTACTGGGGTTACATGAATTGCAGGGCTACAACTCCTGCAAGGGAAGAAACTGAGAGATGAGCTGATTTCCTACAGCCAGGTTTACCAAATAGTACATGAGGGGATGTTTCTTTTTGTAAAACTATGCCAGCTTATTAAATAAAAAATAAATAACTGAATTAGAACATCATCATCTTGCAATTCATAATTAATGGATCTAGGGACTGAGTGTCATATAAAGGGACAACTAAATACTATCTGTCTCTTAATGGAAGAATAATACATAAACTTATGAAGCAGTGTTGCCAAAAAAAATTAATATAATCAAGACTATAGATCAAACTATCAATTTACAGTAAATAGAGAGGACAAAGAAACATGCTTGAAAATCCTACAATTGCTTTAAAATTTAGCAACACACTTCTGAATAACCCATGAATTATAGATCTAAATGTGAAAGAGAAATCAATAAAGCTTTAAGAATAAAGCATTAAGAGAGTATCTTCATGAATTTGGTTGGGATAAGCAAATATTTCTTAAACAGGATCTAAAAAGCACTGACCGTTAAGGAAAAAGATTGCTGAATAAAACTTTAATAAAAGGTATTTAGTTCAGAGCTGGAACTTGAAAAATACATCAATGTTTTAAAAGTTAAGTCATGCAAGATTAATTTTTTAAAATCTTGGAAATTTCTACACTTACCTTCTTTTCTTTTGAGCAAGGTTGAGTTCCATAAACTTATACTTCTGGTACTGTTCATCCAGTTTCTTTAGTACTGTATCCGCAGTCTCATTCCCAGGCTGTTTCATGAAGGAATCCACATCTTCCTATAACAGCAAAAATAATACATTTCAAATTTTAGAATTCACACATCTAATCTGATTTTTTTACTTCTTTAGCTCTATTTTTTTAAAGAAAAAAAAAAAGTTTGTTTCTTTTTTTCTCCCAAGGTTTGTTTTTAACTAAAGTAATTTTAAAAAGTTAGACCATTTCAAACAGTGCACATACATATTGTAGCTAATTTATTCTTCCTCTACCTTCCTCTTTTTATATTTATTTATGCATAGGGAAAGAATGATGACCTCTGCCTGCTTTATGTATCCCACCCTGGGACCCTAGTAGTAAATACGAAAATTACCAATAAACACATTGTATACTCATGTGCCCTAGCCACAAAATTATTGATTTTATTACTTAAATTTTTAACTCAATAAGTTCTACCATAGAAATCTTGCTAAATATGGTCATTAGGTTCCCAAGGCAAGCCACAATACCTCCTCAAGTATCAAGTGGTTGAAATAAAGTAAACCTAAAAAGCAAACAGAAAAATCTTATGTACAGGAACAATCACACCAAACAGAATTAGTAAAACCAAATAGCATTTTAAAAAATGTACACTACATGCTGGTCCTTCATTGTAAGTAAGTTAAATTCAATTTTCTTATGGTTTCTGGTATCTCTACATCATTATTCTTATACATGCTTACTAACCAGAAGGGAATATTTTAGCCAAAACAAAGCAAGAAGAAAAATGAAGAGAAACATAGCAAGGGAGTGAACTATGAAGCCACCAAACTAGCGACACAGTAAAAGAAATAAAAAAGATGAAGTTGAGGCAATGATTGAACTGTGCATGTAAAAGAAGATACCATCTTCCCAGTAGGGTCACTACAGGAAAGAGAAGTAAGTCAAAGTTTCTAGCACCTAGGACATGTTATTAGAAGCTTAGAGTCTAGCAAGGACAATGAACTATTGCAGCATAAAACTTGGTTAAAAGACAGGGTTGTCTGGTTTGAATCCTGGCTTTATCACATACTAGATGTGTTGACCTCAAAAAGTTATTTAACCTCTCTCTTTGCCTCAATTTCCTCGTCTGTAAAATAAAAAGAATACCTTTTCTTCACAGGGGATTAAATGATTGAGCATGTGTAATATGCTTAGAAGAGTACATGACAGCTCATAACTGCTCAACAAACATTAGCTATGTCTATAACACAATGTGCTAAGAGAACAGCTGAAAGTGCCAAGAATTCCATCTTAGGGTAGTGGTCAGGAAAACCTATAGGGAATTCATATCTGAACTAGATGTTTAGAGATGAAGAGGTCAGCAAATGTACAACAGGGAAAAGGGACAATTCAAATAGAAAAAAAAACAAAAACAAATTACTGCACCACTGGGAATGGGGAAAGGGCAAGATCTGACTTCTATCCAGTATGGTATACTGCCTCCCATCATCACATAAACTAATACAGTCAGCCCTCAGCATCCATGGGTTCTGTGTCTGTGGATTCAACCAACTGAGATTCAAAAATATTAGAAAAAAATGTTAAGTTTTTGCTAATGTGTACTATGTAGTTAGACCTACAATGGATGCATCTGTACTTAACATGTACAGGCTTTTTTCTTATCATTATTCCTTAAACAACATAACTATTTATGTAGCATTTACATTTTATTAGGTATTACATGTAATCTAGAGATAATGTAAAGTATTTGGAAGAATGTGTCTGTGCATAAGTTAAATACAAATACTATGCCATTTCATAAATGGGACTTGAGCAGCTGTGGATTTTATATGGGGGCGGGAAGGTCCTGGAACCAATTCCCCATGGATATGGTGGTACACCTGTATATTAAGCATCAACCTGCAATACTGAAAGCACATTTTCTCTTTCTCATAGCAATTCTAAGTATCATTATCCCTAGTTCAGTTAAAGAAACTGAGGCTCAAAGTAGTAAAATAATATGCTCAAGACTAAGGAGCACAGGGAAGTAGAGGCAGGATTCAAACCCTGGTCTATTTAGAAGCCAGTGTTCTTCCTATAATACCATGCTAGTCCCATTAGTCTGGGAAGATAGAAATAATTACGTAAAATTTGGATGGGCATACTATCATTTTGGTAGAAATTTCAACGTTTAAAAACAGAATTTTAGGGGGGAAAAAGCATTTTAAGATAAGACTTTACAAAGCCCTCAGGTACGGTTTATCCTCCTGAAATAGATTTTTAAAGCCAATTCTAGCTGAGCACCATGATGCAGTATTTAAGGCACTATGTAAATGCAATCTGACCTCTAGTTATGAGTTTATACTATGTGTCAGGCAGTGTGCTAGGACCAGGAGAAAATGCCAGTGAGCAAGGTAAATACCTTCCTTTCCTCCCAGTGGCAGAGCATGTGTAAGGAGAAGCTCTGTAGGCCCACAGATAGCCCAAATTAAAATCCTGGATTTACACCCTGTGTGGCTTGGGTCAAGTTACTCAAGGGTTCTGTACCTCAGTTTCATCATCTACAAAATGGGAAGGAAAACAGCACTACCTTCTCTAGAGTTATGTAAAAGCATTAGGAAAAACGCCTGGGAGATAGATGTAATAAAATAAATGGCACAGCTCAGAGAGAAAACAAAATAACTTTAGAGAATAACTACAAAATTGAATCAGCAAATACAAAAATGCAATATACAGTGTATACAAAAGTAGTTTAAATTAAAGGAAATGGGTCTTATGAAATATGTAAGACAATTAACAAAAAGATAGAGACAAGACAATATAAGTTTCAAACCAAAAGGTCGAGAAATTCCATTAATATTTTACAGTAGCTTAACCAGAACTGAGTGTGGAAAGACATAATACTGGCCTGGAAGGCCAGTCAGGTTTTCTCTCTTTATTCAAATAGTTTTCAAATACTATTTCTAGAATAGCCTGATGGAAGAACAAGGTTGAAAGTATCTACTTTTTTCTCTTTGTTTGGATTTGGGTTAGTCTCCCTGTTTTGTGAAGTCTCCAAATTGCATTCCATGCCTCCTCTCTCAACTCCACACGATTCATTACTAAGTTGTTAGAATGATGTATCCAAAACCAAATACGATTTTATTGTGGATTTATTTAAACGTCTTCTAATGTCAGCCCATTGCCTACCGGATACCAAGCCTCAATTCCTTCACATACCAAACAAATAAGGACTTCACGTTCTCATCCTATCCTACTTTCCAATCAGTCTCTTCTTCTATTCCCGAAAGCAACAGAACACTGCATTCCTTCAAGAGACTAAGTTTCATTTCCTATTTTCACACTTTAACACCAGACATTCTGCCTACTCATTGTATCTTAAGTCACCATTTATCTGTCGGTCTCTCCAGCATCTAGGCTGAGTCTCAAGTGCAGCAGAGGATGAAACCTGGCGTTCAGGGGTAGGGGCGGTCCCTCAAACCGAATCCTCCCACCCCAGGCCCCCATCTCTTCTCGGGCCTTCTGGGACTGCGTTTCCCGCGGCGGGTCCCAGCACAGCTTAGTCTGTGCAGGCGCGGAGGGCGAAAGGGGATGGAGCGTTCTCTCCCAGATCCCCCAACAGACCAGACCAGGGTGTGGGCCAGGAAGGAAGCGTTCGCGGCCTAGCGTCAAGATGCCTAGGACCAACATGTCTCTTACCACAAACACGGCCTCAGGAATCCCTAAGTGGAGCCGCCGCCCGTTCCCTGAAGCCAGTTCTCCTAAGCTACAACCATCTTTAGCAACCGCCATCTTGGGGAAGCGAGCGCGCGCGACTAACTGCCTCTTGAGCCGCCAGCCGCCGGGTGTCCGTGATTGGCTCGCTTACACCTACAGGCCCGCCCCTCCCTTGTGAGTATGCACATTGGTAGGCAAGCAGGAAGTAACCGCCTCTTCTCCGAGTTGCCCTACCTATGGGTGCTGATTGGCTGCACGCAGGTGAGTGACAACTATAGAAGGGACTCTGAGGGAAGCTGACTAAGCGGGAAGTACCAATACGGACTCCTGAAAAAAGGAATCTCGGGGACTTGGTGGGTGGGCAGCGCTGGAGGATCCTTGAAATCCCGGACGAAATCGGAACCCCACTCACACTCCAGAACTGGCAACCCCCTCCAGAATGGCCTTCACAGCGATCGATCTCCTCTCGGATACGAGGGAACCAGGACCTAGATGCCACCACAAGGCTTTAGCCTCGGTGCCTTTCTTGTCCTAACACACCAGCGAGCTTGCTGGCCCTTAAAGGGGACTTATAATAAATACCCCACCATCGCACCAACCTTTCCTGAAAGCAACCTTTGATGAGAATCTCGTAACCGCAGCTCAAACATTTTCAAAAGTTCATAGTCCACATACAAAATCGTTTATCCTTCCTGCCTTTGCTTGAACTGGAGTGCTGTCCAGAGAAATTGTGCTTCATCCACTCACACAAAGCCTATCACAAGCCAGGCCCTTTATGGATAAAGGGTAAGTGTCTGTTCCCTTACTTAGTGAGGACACAAATGTAATAAGTGACTAACATTCATTTGAAAACTACATGCCAGTCAATTAGTAGTGTTATTCAGTCCCACAGCCCAGTGTGAGAGGGACTATCTCCTCTGGTTTACAGACAAGAAAAGGGCCTTAAAAATGAACCATTTGTAAGATGATAGGATGTTATAATAGTCACACATCTGGTAGGAAGGAAGCACAGGTGGAATTTAAAATGGGAATCACAATATTTACCAACAAGGCTGTTATAAAGACTAAATGAGGAAGGAAACTTGACTTTGGATGGTGAACTCACAATATAATAAACAGATGATGTATTATAGAATTGTATACCTGTACCTATGTCATGTTATTAACCAATGTCCCCCAATAAATTGAATAAAAAGGTTAAAAAGCAATTAAATAAGATTATGCCTGGCCCTGGCTGGTTGCTAAGTGGTTAGAGCGTTGGCCACGGATCAATGAGTCACGGATTTGATTCTGGTCAAAGGCACTTAGCTCAGTTGCAGTTTGTCCTGGCCCTGGTCAGGGTTGTGCGGGAGGCAACCAGTTGATGTGTCCCTCTCACGTAGAT